GTCGAGTCCCACACTGTTAATTCGTGCGTAAATGCATTTCTTCCTTCATGGCTCCTGCCATGTAAAACAAAAAAAAAAAAATAAAGGAACATCATTCCATTCATTTTTGAATGCATTCATTTGGACAATGTGGGTTTTGTATGAAGGATGTTTTACCTAATTACAAGTGTGGAAGGATTGGTTTAATCTAGGTTTTGGATGAGTTTGGACAGTGGGTTGATTCTGTTATTTAGATTGTCTTTTGTTTGATTGTATAGGTATTGTATTAAATGGATTTTATTAAATTGTTTACGAAAAATGATTCCAGTTCTCTTTAATTGTAATCCTTTTTATCACTTTTTGGTCAACTTTCTTGTAGCTCGTTGCATCTCCAATCCATTGAATTGCTGATGGTGGAGTTCAATGAAGATGAAGGAATAAGAGAGACAAGGGCTGTTGCAAGCCTGTCATCATTCCTAATTCTCACTCTAGTATTAAGCATAGACAAACGACGTATAGAACTACCACTATTAAGACCACTTCATGATTAATTAACTAAATCATACTGAAAAATGACTCTGATATTCGCAGAACTGTATCTTTCATTCAGGCATCCTTGACTCTGACTGACTGATATGTTAGATATTTATAGATGCCGGATACACATGCCTAATTAGGAAATCGTTGCACAAAAACGGAAATTCTCACAATTCTTGTTTGAATCGCGCAATCAATTGATTAAAGATCGAATAACTCACTTAAATAGAAATCTGTACAAAAGGATAAAGCATAGCATTACTTTTGTATGTTCTGGTCAACTTAAGTATAACAATTGACTTGCTATCTTGATCATCAACGTTTGTATTACCCAAACATGATTTAAATTTACTTCCCCAACTAGACTTGAATATTAAATGGAATCTTCGATCGAACCGATTCAGCAACCTACCTAATTGTTCCAACAACTGTGGCGGCCAGCAAGAGTATTGCTATAAAGCCGGAAATCGCACAGTCACCGATCCACACATATTCAGATTTATTATAAATACAACTAGATCTTCCTTTCATATCCAAGAAAGTACCAATCCGCCATTCCGTCACTTCAACATCAACTATGGCTCAATCATTATTTTCGGCTGAAGATGTCACCAAAGAAGTGGCAGTATCTTATCTTCCCTTTAAGACTAAATTAGTTATCGACACTGTTCCACTCAAGTCTTCCACTCAAACAAAGACTCATTCCAAGGTCTACCGCAACAGAGCATTCCCTAATCGTGTTATTGATAACATCCACCCTGATCTCAACACCCACCACAAGTTATTTGAAAATGCCGTTGGACTTTATAAAGATTGTGAGTGTTTAGGTTGGAGACCGTTTGATTATAAATCTAAGACCTCCAGTGATCATTTCGAATCCTTGACATATGGACAAGTTAATGATAAAAAGAGGAAAATTGGTTCTGGGATTATTAGATCCTTATTAGCCAATCCATACAAGAACCCAGAATTAGCTGCCCATAAGAAGATTGATAATCATTTAAGAGATTGGAGCCATTATGGAACTTCTGTAACCCAAAGACAAAATACCGATTCTCAAATTGAAAAATGTAATTCATTCATTTTGTCAATTTTCGCTGCTAATAGAATGGAATGGATGTTGACTGATTTGGCATGTTCTAGTTATTCAATCACTAACACTGCATTGTATGACACTTTGGGTCCAGATGCTACGACATATATTTTAGAATTCACCGAAAGTCCAATTGTCGTTTGTTCTATTGACAAGATTGCAACATTGTTAGAAATGAAACGTAATTTCCCTAGCCAATTACAAAACTTAATTGAAATCGTTTCCATGGATCCATTCGAACTCATCGAGCCATCCTTACTCCAAGAAGCCAAAAAATTAAGAATTATCATTCATGACCTTTCGCAAATCGAACAATTAGGATCAAACAACCCAATCAACGAACTTCCACCCAACCCAAACACACTCTACACCATCTCCTTCACCTCCGGAACAACAGGCTCCAAACCAAAAGGTGCCATGATCCCCCACTCAATGTCTGCAGCTTGCATTTCTTGTTTATTATCATTCCAACCCCAGGCCAGCTCCAGTCCTCATCAAGACCGTGCATTCATTTTTCTTCCCTTAACCCATATTTATGAACGTGGAACCAGTGCATTCGCATTATGTGCCGGCTATTATCTCGGATTCCCACAATTGACACTCGGAAGACCCACGAATCCTTTCTTGGACTTACTTGATGATTTGAGGATTTTCAAACCGGCTTATTTTTCAATTGTACCAAGATTATTAACTAGACTTGAAGCTTTGATTAAGAGTGAGATCAAAGAATTGCCCCAGGATGCGCAGGATAAGATTAATAGAATCATTGAGTATAAATACCGTGAACAGTCGAAATATGATGGTAGTACCGGTCATGACCCAACAATTGACCATTACGAACCATATCAAACACTTAGACAATCCGTGGGGTTTGATAACATAAAATGGATCCAAACTGGTAGTGCACCCGTTGCTTCGTCGACAATTGTTTATTTGAAGGCTAGTTTAAACATCGGGATTCGTCAATTATACGGTTTAACTGAATCCGGAGGTACTATTACCTCTACTGATCCATATGATCTGAATCCGGGGAGTTGTGGGAGTGTGCCACCTACTGCTGAATTTAAATTACGTGATTGTAGTGATATTGGATATTCAATTGGGGAGAATAAAGGAGAGTTATTATTAAGAGGACCACAAATATTCAAAGGGTATTATTATAACTTAGAAGAGACTAATAAAGTTTTCAGTGAAGATGGTGAAGGCTGGTTTCATACTGGGGATATTGCTAGTGTTGATCCAAAGACTGGTAGGATTAATATTATTGATAGAGTGAAGAATTTCTTTAAGTTACAACAAGGGGAATATATTTCACCTGAAAAGATCGAGAATAGATATTTGTCGTCCAATCCAATAATTAGTCAATTATATGTCCATGGTGATTCTTTGAAGGAATACTTAGTTGGAATTGTGGGTATTGAATATGAAAAAGGGTTGAAGTTCTTGAATGAACTTGGATACAATAAGATCGGTATGTCAAGTGAAGAAATGTTAATTGAATTGAATAGTGTCGATGTAAAGAGTAAATTCTTAGAAATGATAAATAAGAATGTTAAAGGGAAATTACATGGATTTGAGATATTACATAATATTCATATTGATATTAATCCATTGACTGTTGAAAGAGATGTTGTTACTCCTACTTTTAAGATCAAGAGACCAATCGCATCTAGATTCTTTGGTGCTGTTTTCCATCGTTTATATGAAATTGAACAATCTTTGGTATTGGCTGCAAGATTGAAGAAAGCTAAGTTGTAGTTTGTATGTAGTTAGAGATATATAGAATAGATGTTTTCATTTCCAACAATGTACCCACTCTCCACTCTAGTTGGATTCCATCCACTACTATGGTTTTCCCCAGGGAACAGTTGATATTGGAACACCAAGAAATACCTATTACATGCCAAGTACAGCTGCCGCCGTTGTTTGAGAGCCTTAATTGCTTCGTCGGTACGGAAATAAGTAATACTAATGTTATGGGGAAGCAAAGCACGGAAACTGAGGTTGCAGTTGTGGCTGTCTTAGTTCATATCTTGCCCTTGAACACTGACTGATAGTGCCTATTGGTCACAACGCAGTAATGAGACCTCGCGGCTTAAATTCAAGTGTGTCATTGACAAAAGAATCCAAACACTATAACTCGAATTCTCATCTGCGGACCAGGTTACGATTAATTTACTATCCCATCTCAAACAGATCATGCTTGTCAAATTTTTCTCTGGTATTACACATCTCGGTTCTGCTACGGTTTAACACGGTGCCAAGACTCTACGATATCTTACATGAACCGCTTGCTATCAATAGAAACTACGCCTGATTTACTGGGTTCAAAATATGCAGCGTTGTAATGATCCCTATCGCCGATGAATGCAAGTTTCGAAGCTTCCCTCGGCTTGAATCATCTATTCGAACGGCTATGTACAAACTGCTTTGAACAAATGAATTAACAATGCTTTGTTTTCCGCAATTGTGGGGCTCTGATTAAAGAATAGGATTAAATGAATTCGCAATGTTACCAGAGTTTCTATATTCAATGAATATGCTCAACAAGTATGGGCCTAGTGAAATTAGATCGAATAATTTGTTTTTCAATTTTACGATTTCTCGATGTTTCGGCAAGACTCAAACTTTCATTTCTTCTTTATGTATTTCTCACGATTGCTTGGTATCACTTTGGTCTCTCCATAATAATCCCCCCAACACTGTTCTTTTCTTGAGATTTATATGGCCAACAAGACCTGAGGTGCTTGTAGTATTCTTTTACTCGTTCTTTAAACACCAATCTCCTCTTGGATGGTATTTTCTTGTTATTTTCTATTTGTCTAAGACTTTGAATTTCATTTCGGCATAGATCTTGAAATATGGGGACCCGCACTTGCTATGTTCTGTGTCTAGCTAACTGAGGTATCAAAAGTATTATCCACTCAAGTGGAGTCCAGCGGTTACTATTCTCCGCCGATCGGTTATAAAAAGATCTAAAAAGTGTACAAAACCGGAAACCCATTCGGATAACGCATCATTGTGTATAATTCGTTTCTGTAGTTTATAGTGGCTTTTGCGGATAAACAATTTGCGGAGAAGTATTTTTTTTCCCAATCAGATTAAAGAAAAAAAAGAAATAAAGATATGAATCTATGCAAGGTAGCGCTGATTTGAGTCATCCTCCTGGAACTGATCAATGGATTAACTTCTTCAAACCCTTTCCTCTCGCTCTCTATTTGAGATGGTATAAGAATAATAATAGAATGTACATAAGTTCATAGGTCCAGCGGTGCGATTTTCTTGAATAAGATGAAGAAGCTGAAAAGATAAGAAGGGAATGTATGTTTCAAATGCAATCTGGAATTTCAATATTTTTCCATGTGGGGTATTCATATTGTTCTCATTTAAATATTGAGTGGAGGGGCAGCTCTCTTATAACACAATCAGACCAACCACAGACAAGAAAACAAACAACCGCCGGACAGATCCAAAACTTAGTATAAATACAGCCATAACTTTCCATTTATTCTTTGCTATCATCAAATCTAAATTCACGATTATGCATATCCAATCCAACAATATGACAGATTCATTATTCTCAGCAGAAGACTTTTCTAAAGAAGTAGCAGTCTCCTACCTCCCCTTCAAAACCAAACTAGTCATCGACAGTATTCCCGTCAAATCCTCCACTCAAACAAAGACCCACAGCAAAATCTATCGTAATCGTGCTTTTCCCAAACGGATAATCAACAACATTCATCCAGAACTCAACACTCATCATAAATTATTCGAAAATGCCGCTGGTTTATTCAAAGATCGGGAATGTTTGGGTTGGAGACCATATGATTATCATTCCAAAACTTCAGCTGATCATTTTGAATCATTAACGTATGGTCAAGTGAATGAAAAGAAGAAAAGAATCGGTTCCGGGTTGATTAGATCATTATTGGCAAATCCTTATAAGAATAATGATTTGGTTGCACATAAAAAGATTCTTAATCACTTAAGAGATTGGAGTCATTATGGAACCCCAATTACGCAAAGGCAAAATACTGATTGTCAGATTGAAAAGGCAAATTCATTTATTTTGTCGATTTTCGCTACCAATAGAATGGAATGGATCTTGACTGATTTAGCTTGTTCGAGTTATTCAATCACCAATACGGCTTTATATGATACTTTAGGTCCAGAAGCTAC